TTGGAAACTCTCTCCTGTTTCTCTGGAGGACTGGACCTATTCAGACAACATCTGCCTCCTCTGCAGTGTTAGTAGGGTGGGGATGCACTGGAGAAGCCAAGTTCTGGATCTGTGTCCACTGCGGTCAGGAGTAGGTAGTATGCTGTAGCTAAATGGTGAACACATGTTTTTCCTATAAAATGAGGAGGCTGTGGATTAAGTTAGTTTTCTTTCTTTTACTTTTTTTCCCAGACTTCCCTGATTTCTCATTCAGTGTTGACAAATGTGTTGTTTGGCAACGCAGTGTGTTCAGAAATAGGTAAACCTCCACACATTAATACAAGATAGATACTGCTAGATCGGACAGGCAGGTTTTTTCCAAAAAAAACCCTGCATTTTTTGTAATAATTTGAAATGAAGAAAGGATAGGTTTCTCTATAAAGTGCTTGAGGTTTTCACCCTTAAACGATGAACTTCACAGCCCAGTAACTCTCTGTTTTGCTTATAAAAGCCGAAATCTGTAATTGTGTCCTTTTTAATAATGTTTGCTTAAGCAAGTTATTATTTTTCTTTTGAATGCTGTTTTACATCTGTTTACATTTCCAAGGCTTTAATGTCAGTGCCTTCTCCACACAGATGGGGAAAAGGCTGATATTTCTGTGAATATGTATGAAGATATCAATATTATCACTGGTGCACTTAAACTGTACTTCAGGGATTTGCCAATTCCACTCATCACGTATGATGCCTACCCAAAGTTTATAGAGTCTGCAAGTAAGTATAACACACTTTCCTCATGGTTTTCCTTCTCAACCTTTTCTTCTCCTTTTTTATGCAGTACTTGCCTATTAATTTAATAGCTATCCCATCAGCTCTTACCCTGCATGCACTATTTGGTAAGGATTTCAGAAGTAAATATGCACTGCACATTATGACATGACTGCATGGTGCTACGTGGTCATGGCTACATTTTATTTTGCATTTGTCACCAGGAATGCTTCATTTTCATCACACATTATGGATTACGTTGCTTGTATGTCTTACATGAATCCCTGGTACTTGACAGGGACATTTAAAGTCTATTGGTTTTATGTTGCCAGAAATAAGGTGATTTATGAAAATGTTTAGAAATAAGAAGTCATTTGTTTCTAGAGGTGTCCATTTTGAGTGTTTTCATAAGCTGATAAGCACTCATCCTCAAGCCACCTTCAAGGCTGGCCTTGCAGACAGCGAGCTGTAACATCTCTCCCAAGCATCCTGGCTGCCTCAAGAAGCATCTCTGCAAGTAGCAGTCACACCAGCCACACCTGGAAGGGTGTGAGGTAGCCGTGGGTAGAAAACAAGGGCCAGATGCTGGCCTTACTGCTCCTCTCCAGAAGGGTCTTCCTGAGTAATATGGACACAGCCAAAGATGCTGATGGCAAAATTCCCAGTACCTTCTGCTGTCCCAGGGTTGCACCTGTAGATTATTTCTGCAAAACTAGTCCAGTCAGCAAGAATTGCTAGGGAGAATTTTTTTAGTGGGCTGCAGGGAATTTTCCAGTGGAGTGCAGTTTGCTTCAGGGAGTTTTCTTTGTCCAAAACCAGCCACATCCTGACAGTGCTCTGAGCACCTCTTTGGATAGGCAAATCCTCCACTCTGAGGTCTAGATAGGTTCTGGAAATCAGTAATCCAGCAGAGCTGTGAGACCCTATCTTCTCTGCAGGCCACCGTTGTTGTCTTTCTATGTGTGAATTCTGGCTGTACGTGTGGTGACAGCTGAGCATCTGTGTTTCAGAAACCACCGATCCGGATGAACAGCTGGAAATTCTCCATGAGGCGCTGAAGCTGCTGCCGCCTGCACACTGTGAAACGTTACGGTATCTCATGGCGCATCTGAAGAGGTAGGTGGACTAGCTGGAAGGAACTCTAAGCCAAACTCATTTTTAGCAAAGTCCATGTTAGGACCTCCTGAAAAGCCTGGGCAAGGCCCACTAAATCCTGTAGACAGATCATGGCAGGGAATGATAGTCTGCACAACAGCGAACACCCAAACACTGGGGTTTATTGCACGTAAAGCGCTTGCAAAGCATTTAAAGGAAATAAGTAAAACCCCACACAGTTCTGAAGCACAAAAGTAATCTGCCCAACAAATTTCCTCTATATTTAAGGTTACAGTGAATATTTATGGTAAAAAAAAAGCATTCACACCTTTGAGAGTAATAAGTCATTCCCTGGGCAAGGAACTAATACAGCTTAATGGCTACAGACTGGTGTCTTTCTGTGCTACGTCTCATCTACCCTGGTCATCCCTGACACTCTAAAAAAGGTGGCACACACTTGGCTTCAGCTGATGCTGATTAGTCACAGTGTTAATTGGCCCTCCAGCTACACATCTGGTGCAGTCTGCCAGCCTTTCCTCATCAGCGTGGAGCCCCTTGTTCCACCTGCCGCCTTCTCAAAACTGTGGGAGCATAAATTCTGTCTGAGGTTTCTCCTGCTGCCTGAGACATGATTGAAGTTGGTCAGTAGGCTGAAAAATTGTTAGAGAGAGACTGACAGATGAATATCCAGTACAACAGCACAGGTTCTATTTCTTTCAGGAAAGCAGGGGAAAAAATCAATGTGACATGTTAGTGTATCCATTTCAGTTTCTCAAGTAGCATGAACTCGTCGTCAGTATAGAACACTCATTCCTTTTCCTTAGAAAAATACCTTCTTTCAAGCTCTCTTCTGCTTTTTTCCTTTTGTGGTTCTTCGACAAGTAGGAGTAAGTTGACTCTGCTGAGTGCCTCAGGCAAACTTCAGCTACAAGGTTTCTGCCTGATTTGTCCATTTATTTCAATGACATTTCTAATGGATGTTTTAGAAGAGACACAGGGATGAGAGATGTGGGAACAAAAAAACCCACCTTACTGCTTGTGAATTGTGAAGCTAATTTTTCCTTACCTTGTTCAAGAGTAGCTGTTGCTGCTCTAGTTTGCAAGTTGCTTTTGCACAGCATATTTCTGGTATCGATGAATAAGGTAGGTGATGAAATTCACTCGTTTTTAAACTTCCTTGTAATACATTTGCTAAAAAGAGCCATGGTGCTTAACAGGCGGTTGTTTTGCTGCTGAATTCAGGTAATCAGACACAGCTCCTTTATCTAGAATAATTACACTCTGAAGACACAGCAGCTTGGAAACATCAGTCTGATGTAGTTTAAAGATAAAAATTAAGGCGGAAGAGAAAAAAATGAAGAAAAATCTTGAATGGTTTTGTTTGTTTGTTTTTGTATACCAAAGAATTTGTTCACGCAATGGAAGATGCCACAGCAGTGGAAAGAGAAATAATTTAGCCAGGCTCTTTCAGTTGCGGTCCATGGATTCTTAGCTGTTTCTAAGGAGCCTTGGGCGAGGCAATTCACCAGGATAAACCACGGCAGAAGCTTAGGCTGCAGGGCATGTTCGTGCCTGCTGCGCCCGTTGCAGCGGGCAGCCGCCATGGGCGCAGGCCGTGTCGGGGTACGCGGGGCAGGCTGGCCTCCTCCCGGCCCCCGTGTGGGACCCTACGTTCCCCGTGCTGAGGCAGAGCTGCGCAGGGGAGCACCAGCTGCCTCTGCGCCCACGTGAAGAAATACCTTCCCTTGATCCCGGAGTCCACCGCGGCTGGGCAGCAGAGACCATTCTGGCACTTGCTGAGCAGATACGTTTCTGTGCGTAGCCCCGGCAGAGGATGCCTCTCCTGTAGGTATAATTCTTGGGCAGACTGCCTTTCCGGAGGTGGCCTGCAAACCTGCCCTGCCGCAGAGCCGCAGCCCACAGCTTCGAACGGGTCGGATTCCTGTGGAGCAGCAGAATGCGGCCTCCCCACCGCCTCGTCCTTCTCTGCAGACAGGAACCAGGCGGCGGGAGGCTTCGCTGCGCGGGGGGCTCGGCCGGTCGGCAGCGTCTGAGGGCCCCAGAAGCAGGAAGGGTGGAGGCGGGCCTGGCAGAGCACAGGTTTAATGACCTGCTCAAGCTGCCGCTCAAACGAGGTTACAGTGAGACCGTGGCGGTTCCAAAACCGCCACAAAAAGATGATTCACTTTTTTTAGTACATGCCACAGGACATAATTTGTCTTGAAGAGGAACCAGGCATCCACCTTAGCACGGTTAGCTTGTAGTGCCTGAAGACAGGGAGTTCACGTGTGATGTGCTTCACCCCCACATTGCCGCCGTGTGCCAGAGAGAGGAGCAGTGTGGCCACGTCGAGCTGTGCCACCAGGGGAGCCTGGGCAGAATCCCACCTGGGTGGGCACAGTAGCACATCTCTAGTGACCATAAAACCACTAACGTAATAACAGGCGCGCTCTGCTCCCCGTAGGAATGGCCTCTGAATGGTGCCACTGCAAAGAGCGAAAGCAAAATTGTTCTGATTTGTCTGAACTCAGCCCCCTCCCTTGCCACAGGGTACCGAGCCCTCCTGCAAGTCAACCTGGTCTGTGTGCACGGTAGGAGGACAGAGACTCCCCAAAAGCCCACACAGCATTTGCACTCGCTAACCTCTGAGTGTTTCACCCCACATCCTCCACGTGTCCTGCTGAAACAGCAGCCTCTCCTAGGCTTTGGGGAAAGGCAAACATTTCTGTCTAGTTTCCCTGACTTTCAAGCATATGCAGGCACGGTTTGGCACAGAGGGAATGTGAAAAACACTGTCCTTTTTTTTACAGAGTAACGCTCCATGAAAAAGAGAATCTGATGAGTGCAGAGAATCTGGGCATAGTTTTTGGACCAACTCTTATGAGAGCGCCAGAACTGGATGCGATGGCTGCGTTGAACGATATCCGTTATCAGAGACTTGTGGTGGAGATGCTTATAAAAAATGAAGACATTTTATTTTGAATATTTTGGGGGTTTTGTAATAAAAAAGGAAGCAACAGTGTTCTATGGATGAAGGAATATTTTAAAGTAATTTAATGGCTCTTGTCGCTGAATTCCATATTTGCTAGAGCTTTCGATGTATTCAGGATAAAAATGAAGGAACTCTTTGTCATTTCTGTAGTGCCATTCAGCTGATGTTGAAAAAGGTTAACACATACTTTCCAGTACTAGTAATTCTGGGTGTTTATCATGTTAAAATAAAAAACAAAAAGCCTAAAGCTATTGCATGATTTGCTCCCTGTTCTCCCTGTTCTGGTGAGACTCATTCCATGAAGAAAACAACTGAACTGGTGCAGCATCTTTGTTCTGGATAGTTTGTGATTGTAATTCAGCATGTTTCTCCGTGTAAACCTGTTGTGAATTTGCTTTTATGTTCTATGTAATTGGTTTCTGATACTAAAAAGAAGGCCGACTTATGTGAAATGGAGCCTCTGGCAGTTTATTGACATTTCATATCGTTCTCTGCCACTTTTGGGGCCAATTTCTTCTTGGATTTCTTTCAATTTTTTCATCATATAGTAATTTGTTTTTAACAGAAACAAAATGTGTACTTTAAATGTTACTTTAAGTAATTCTCCATGATGTTTTTGGTGGTTGCAGTGAAATCTGCAATGCTGAACAGTGTTCCTTTATTATTATTATTGCTATTTCAATTGTAATTTTGTATTTTTATCAGGCATGCATATATTAATTTATTAAATTTTGCTTTTAGAACTCTAACATTAAGCTATTTATTTTTACTTAAAAAACATGTTTAAAAAATAATTTGTTTCATTTTTTGCATTGGCACTTTAACCCTGAACAACCTGTGACTTAAAAAAAATTGAGTTAGGGTTTTATGGGTTTTGACAAGACCATTCTCATCTAAATACGTTGGAGCCTGACACTTTGCTAAGGTTCCCACAAATTCCTCTTTAGTTTGAAAATTTCTTTCTGCATTGTCCAAGATGCCTCTCAAAAATGCTTCAGAACTCTTAAACCAAAAAAGTATTGTCAAGCCATCTACTAATTCATTGCAGTTTACCATTACGCAGTTGTAGCTGCCCAGAGGAGATACACACACCACTGAATTTCAAATGCAAATACATTGCCACATTGCTTTGCACTTAAAGTGTTTGGGTCTGGTGCAAGTGCTTTGACCTGCCCTGCAAACACCATGGTGAGGAGGAGGAGGAAGAATAATCCCCTAGCAATCTCAACCAGCTGTGCTCCCTTCCTATCAGCAGTAAGGTGCCTCCCTATATCCCACCCCTTTCCTTATGTGCTTGGTGAGAAGAGGGGATGGCAGCTCTCCCACAGCTCCCCTGGAAGTGGGGAATGAAGGCTCCCAGGAAGGGAGGGGTGAAGCTGGGGACGCGCGCAGGTAAGCATGTGGGGAGTGCTGCTCTGGGCTGGGGGGGGCTGCTGGAGGGGCAGAGCTGGGGCAGGTTTTGAGAGAATCTCAAGCATCGTCTCTTTTTTATTTTAAATCTGTAGGATTAAAAGTGACTTGCTGCTATAACTCCTGTATTAATTAGTAAACATTATCACTTTATTTATCACAATGAACTGACACAGCTGGAAAACTGTATGCCTCCAACCACAACCTTGCCCCGCCCCAGCCCAAGAGCAATGAATGGCCCATATGCTTCCCAGCCACATCTGCCTTGCAGACTCCAGCATCCACATATGTTCACTGCTACCTTGTTCCAAGCCAACTCCTAAACGTACTGCACTTCCCCCCGCTGCCTCAACAGCATGCGATGCATTTCCTCACTCCTGTGTTGCCTCGTGGCCCTGCGTACCCCAACCCTCACACCGTCCCTCCTGCCTTCTCTCCCAGGGTACCTCGCAGGGGCTCTGGCTGGCTCTTTGCAATGCCCTGTCACTGCAATCGGCTCTCAGCCGGGGCAAAAACATCCTTTTCTCAAAGCTCCCAGAAGTAGCTGATCCAGGCACGGCTGGAGAAGGGCACGGCTCTGCCTCTGTGGCTCTGGCTGTGGTGGTGGCACCCTGTGTCCTTTGGCAGCCGCAGGGAGCCAGGGGAGCCCTCGACTTACCTGAGCAAAAGGCACCTGTTCCCCATTGCTCTGCAAGCAAACCTGAATTAGATAGTTGAAATCCCACTTCTAAAGCATATAGCAGGAAGCATGTAGTAAATAGGAGTAATTAGGATAATTACATTTTCTTCTGTGCAACATCCAGCTCCTCTGTCTTGGTGCAGTAGCAGATGGTGAGTGCTGCTGACACTAATGTCTGCTCCCCTCTCTTTAAAGATTTTTTTTTCAACTGCATTTAGAAGTAGCGATGGTCACTGAGAGGTGCAAAGTTGGAGCCGAGTCAGAGAAAAAACACTCAAAACAGCAAGCCTAGATTTGCTTTGGTGATAGTCAATCTCTCCAATGCATGCAGGGCAAACAAGGTCTGTTAGCTGCTACCAAGCGCTGATCTCCTGCTGGAGATGCCTTTTTTCCAGCAGAGTTTAACAAGTGTTTATAATCATGGAAGTTCCTGTAGTAAAGGCAAAAAAAATGAAATGGGGACCCACAGCTGAGAGAAGAGCAGTGAGTTTGCTGACCAACTGGAGAAAAAAAAAAAAAAAAAAAAAAAAAAGGAAAATACCAGCCCCCCATCCCCCAACCCACCTCAAGAAGCATAACTTTTCCTTAATGCCTGTCTACCCCCTCCCCTGAGAGCTCCCTAATGAGCAGTTATGGCAGCTAGTAGGCACAGGAGTTTAGAGGTCAGGTAGCTGAGTCCGTGCTGTAATAAGCACACTTTATTTTCCCTGAGTCTCACATTCTGATGAAATATGAAGGAAACTGCATGTCAAGTGATGATAAAGCTTCAGAATATGTTTAACAGCAAACGATCTCAATATTCAAGTAATTAAGGCAGACAGTGTCTGCTAAACACACTGCTCGCTCTACGTGGGACAAAACTGCCCCCCCTCCTCCCCCAGAGCACGTGTCTCAGATTCAAATGCAAAGGTTGTGTGATGAGCTAGGGACAAGAACGTGGGATGAAGCACCCCAACAGCTGATGAAGTACTTGCTTGACTTTGAATCCCTGGGATCTGCATCCAGTGACTTTTTTTTAATCTATTTACTTAATTGTGATTCTTTAAGTATGTAGGCAAAGCCTCCATTTTAATCTTGCTTTTGTTACTATCCTAATGAAACTTATGTTTCCTGAGTGGTAACCATTAAAGCAGTTAGTGCAGAAAGAAATGTTGTCTTTGCAATGAACTTGATACTTCTTTTTGCTAACCAAGAAGATACTTTGCATAGGCATATAAGCAATCACGTGATTTAAATTTCATTCATTCAAATTTTTAACTAAATGCAGAAAACTATTATTTTTAGTATTTGTATTAGTTAAATGACAATACAATAAATAACTTGGATCTGTAAGAAGTAAAGGTTATTACTAAATTGATTTGTTCTCTGAAGGGATTAATTTCCATGACGAATGTATGTTATCTCTAGTTTGGGAGGTGGCCTTATTGTCTCCACTGCCATGGGGTACATGTGGACAGCACAACGTGGGGCTGAGCAGAGACACTGGGGCCACCTCACTGACAACATCGAATCGAGAGGCAGTTGACCGCAGTCAAAAAGATGGGAAAGCAGGGATTAAACTGAGAAAGATTTCTTCCTTGGACTTCTGAGGAAGAAATGAGGGGCACTGGCAAGAAGTATAAATTGGTAGCAGTCAAGGAACTTGCATAAAGCATGAGGGAAAGCAAGTCTTCAACAAGGTTAAAGGAAGGCAAAATTATTAAAAATTATGGAGGCACTGAATAACTGTTGAAAATGTATGTCTAGCAAAAATTAAATATCAGAACTATTGGGGTGGGAAAGCTATTTAGGACAGTGCTTGGGGGCATAATTAGGAGCTTTAGAGTGGAAAGGGATAAAGGGAAGAAATCTTGTGGCAATTTCAGGAAAAGGTCCCAGCCGTGAATTAGCCCAGAGGTTTAGCACTTGGCCTCTTCTCCGCCAGGCCAGGCCCCTGCAGCTGGGTGCCCAGGATGTCCCAGCGTCCAGGGCAGGGGGCACCGAGCCGCCCGGCCCAAGCCCCCCCCGGCCAAGCCGCAGCCGTGCGCGGGGCCTCGGGCCCGCTCCTCGGGGCATGCAGGGCGCCCCTGGGGAGAGCCGTCCCTGCCCTGGGTGCAGGGCTCCTGCCCTGGATGGGGACGTGTCTGCCCCCGCTCCCCCCCAAGGGATGCCTCACCATCCCCGTTCCAGAGGGAAAACCGCTGCGTGCTGAGGCCGTACGCAGGGAGCCTGTGACAAGGCTTTGGGAGCCCTCTGAAATGAGGGAAGCAAGCTGCCTTCTGAAACAAGAGCGCAAACTTCTGTTTATGATAGATTAGCTGATGGGATGAAAAAAACTGTTATTTATGATTTTATGCAATAACCAAACTTTTCCTGCCCTTCCTCCTCCAGTGGCAAAGGAAGAAGTAAAGGCTTCTAAAAGGCCTATATGATATACTCGCTCTGTTCCTGACCTAATTTTTGCATGCCGATGAATGTTCCGCAATGTTTTTATTATAGCTATAATTATATTGCAATAAGGGAAAAAACATTTAGTGAACCTAGCAATCATAGATTTCTTTTTTAGTCATGCAAAATTACTGCTTAGCAACTGCACATCGGCCCTAGAAAGCTTATGTAATGCAAGAGAAGGAGGGTTAGGAGATGTGTTGTGGATGAAAGCGTTTGCTGAGCAAACCATGTAAGGCAAGACTGTGTTCTGCTTCGCTCACGTGCTAGCAGGAGCGTAATTAAATGGCAGGGGACGCGTGCCTGAGAGCATGGCGTGGGATGCTGGGTGCGGGGTTTGTTATCACCTCCGGCAAACCTGCCCTGGGCTGGTTAGCTCTGGGAGCTCTGCCTCCAATGGAAGCCCCGGCCCCGGGCTGATGCACCAGGAGGAGGAAGCCTTACATATGCATTAAGTGACCCAACTCTTCTTCAGTTCTTCAGCACGCTCTTCCTCTGCCTCTGGCCTTGGGCATTTCAGGTTGTACTGTCCTCCAGAGCCCTTGCACAGGATGATTATTTCTTCATGCTGGCCTGATTGGCTCTCTAGGTGATCCGGGCCACACCACAGAGATATTCTTGATGCGACCTTCTGTATCTCAATTTGGACAGCACTATTCGTTAACTTCTCTGTTGCTGGTTTCATGGTCGGAGTACCATTTTTTTCTTATTTGAACTCTCCCAAGAGTGATGTCAATAAGCTGTTCAAGGAATTTGTTTAAGAGCCTTTAGTTAGGAATCCTTTCCTATTTCTCATACAAGTATTTTGTTTTGAGGACATATGTAGCTCCTTGTATTACCCAGGTGTTTAGCACTACTCTGCCTTGGTGAATTGGAGCAAATGGTTCTTAGGCCTCTGGGAGCCTTTGATTAATGTATTTCCTGAGGCAGTTAGGCATTGTTTTGAAAAATACATTTGGCAGCCAACCAGGATCCATTTTCAAGCACTGTGTTGCCTGTAATTTTTGTTTCTTGCTATCACACCTAGAGTTTGACTGCTAAGCTTTTTCTCTTTCCTTCTTTATCTTCACGCCTTATTACCATGTCAGTAATGCAAATAGGATTGTCTAAGCTATTAAAATTACCCATTTTGTAGATTAATATTCATAAGGTGGTATATCCTAAAGCCTACTTGCAGGATCACTAAACCCAGAAGAACTTGGCACAGCACGATGCTGTTGCTCACTCCTCATTTACAGCACCTACTCTGATCTCAAAAAGGGGAAGGGGAGAGATTCTTTTAATTTAATTTTATTCTTTATTCCCTTTCATGTTCTCCAGCATCATGATGCTGGACATATGTTGTTTGTACCACACAATAACTCACACATGACATCTTCCAGTAAACCACTGAAATTCACTGAGTGAAAACCACAGTGGAAACCACTGAGATTGCCAAAGGTGGATTAGACACCACCAACATGGGGCAGCACAAGACACCTCACAAAAAACAGGTTCAGAGCCCATCTGAGCACCTTTACTAAAAGTGGGCAGAGGCCAATAATCAAATACAGGTGGAGGAGTCATATCATCTGTTGCAAGTTGTTCCCTAGGTGAGTTGCAATGACACTTGCAAATCACTTCCGCACAGAAAACTCTGAGCTTCTGGAAGTAGTTCCCCAACCCATACATGATCTTGCCTTTCAGAGAAAAGACATCATTTCCAAATGTGTTACAATACAATGGATACATTGGTTTTCAATCTTGTTCAAAAAAAAAAAAAAAAATAGCCCATGTACAGCAACCCAGATGCTCACCCTTCTTAATCATTCCAAATATGGTGCAATGCTGAGTCTCTATAACTCCTTCATGGCCCCTCATTGGAGGAAAAGTTGTGGTCTGCCCATGGATTACTTTGAAGTTCTCTCTGTGTGATGTAAATCAAGAAGGGTTGGTCTGAAGTAACAGCAAAGAAGTAGCTGGTGAGGATATCAGTAGTAGAGAAGGCTAAAGAAGGCGTTGGAGGTAATGTCATGGAAAGCGTGGGACGGCTTCTTCTGTGGTCTGTGTCCATCCTTGGGCTGGAAATCTCTCCCAGCATTATGAGGGATCTGACATTCTCCTTCTCTTGCGCTGGTGGGAGGAAAACCCCCACTAATGTTCCCTTTTCCATCTGCAGCTCTTATATCAGGTTTAGCCTCACTCCTAAGCCATCATGTCAGTTTGCTAATAGTGTTAATTAAGAACAGAAGTGCACCTACATGCAAGCCTCCTTCTGTTACGAGTAATTTCAACAGTGAGCTTTGATCTAGCTAAACCCCCCTCCTAAAGCTTCCTCAGGTTCCAGGCAAAGACTCCTTCCAGTATCAGAAATGAAGAAGCAAATATGCTTTGGAAGGTGAAGGTAACAACCTGAATGCTTTGCTTCAGCTAACGGTGCAGGCTGAGAGCCTCCCAAGCGACGGTCGCTGCTAGTGGGCAGGGGCCAGCAGCAGTGGGGGTGCATGGGCACCCCTCTCTGCTGTCTCCCTTAGCGGTCTGAAAGGGGCCAGCACGGTGTCAGTGGGGCATCCCACCCCACACCTGCCCGCTTCCTGCAGGTATGTTAATTTTGTGACGGGATGGAAGGCAGCTAATCTGTCTGCTGGTGGATGTTTGCGAGGTACATGGAAATTCTATCATCTGTGTCATAAAATGATTCAAATGGCCCAAACTTCCCTCTTCATTTCTTTGGGTCCCTTTAGTCTGCTTATGTCTACTTAGAGATACTAAGCGCCACCTCAGAGTGCAAGTGTTATCTTCTCTCAGCTGATCTCTGCTGGATGGCACTGATGGTCTGTATACCACAACGTGACATGTTGAATTTTATTTTTTTTCTTTTTTCCTCATTACACTGTCATGTGAATACACCAGAAGCAGTCAGAGCGATGAGGCTCTTGCTGCTGTCACAACCTTCCTGGAGAGCCAGCAGTCAGTGTACCATCCCTCCCAATACCCATCCCAGTACATCACCAGTGACCTGCAAGTGCAGGGGACACAGAAAGAGAAGGAAGGAAAGATATTATAAAGTTTTCAGAATTTATTACCTAAAGTAAATGGGAAAATTGACTAAGAAAAACGGTCACGTGGAGTATTCTCTTGTTTCTTAGTGAAGGCAGTATGGATTGGCCAGATGCTGTACAGAATGATACATATCATGTGGACACAAAAGGTTGCTAGCACCACAAAGCCGCTTGCTGTGCTGCACTTCAGCACACTGTGAGCTTTTATACGTGAACACAGACTGTTTGCTTGAAAACAAAATGCAAACTCAAGGGCCATGTGACGAGTCAGTGTCAATGTGGCCTTCATCAGCTAGGAGGATGAATTTCACAATTAGGCTAACCTGAAAACTAGACTTTGTTAAGAATCGTTAAGCTGGAACTCTACACTTGGTTTCAACACCAGTTCCCCTTATGCGGCTGTGACGCATCCCGCTTCTGCTCCGGCACTGCCTGTGTGATGCTCACGCTGCTCCCCTTGCTGCGGTGTGTGTTTACCAAGGTATTTCTCCCAACTGTGTTGAGTGTGGTGTTTGGGACTCCTGTCAATATTGGTGAGTAGGGAAATCTGCACTCGGGATTGCACATGAAGTCAAATTCCAAAGTTAGTGTGGGCTGTCAGAGGAGCAGGAACCACCTCCCGACTTCAGCCCAGCATTCGGTCCCACCCAAACGTGCCTGACCACTGCAAGCCCCCACCCCTCCGGCAGGAACCCAGAGCCACCACATGGTGCAAAACATATTCCAAAAGTGGCTTTTAAAAATACTTTACTTACCACTTTGATAGTGTTTCTCGAGTTGATGGTATGTTTTTGGTTTTATGTTCTATCAGTTATAAACACAAGCTTGTAAGTTCCCTGCTGTCCAACACAAGAGGACCGTGGCAAAGATCTCGCAGCCTGCCAAGAAGGCAAAATAAAGGTCGTGTGACAGGTGAGAGCTACACATTAGGGACCACAGAAGTCAGTATTTTCCACTAATTACCAACAAAATGGTGTGCATGTACTGGAAAAGATCCCAACATAAACAATAAAAGTGTGTAATTTAGCATGAGGTCAGTGCTGGGTAAAGCACACATCAACAAATCCAAGTATGTCATGTGCAGGAGCAGAAATCCATCCCTAGGAGCTAATGAACAGCCCAGGTAGAGGATGGTGTTTCCTGCATGTTGGCTTTTTAAAGACAACCACTGCAGCTCTAAGTGAGCAGGATGCTTTGCAGAGTTCTCTGTTAAGTGTTTTCTGGGATCAGCAAGGGCTTAGGGAGGGGACGCACTGTGTGTGAAGGCAGAGTGTGCTCTGCCACTTGGACTACTTCCAGAATCAAAAATAAAATAAACTTGTTCCTGTATGTTTATCCAGCTAATACTAGCAATGAGAGAATCTGCACCTCAAAGCTAGGTATCCCGGGGCTCTTGCAGGGTTACAGAGGTGTTCTCAGGATCACAGGAGTTTATCCGAGTTGCGCTTACTGCAGGTGTGGTGCAGGGTGGTTTAGCCTGCCTGCCTCTTGCCGCGATGCGGGCACTCCACAGGAAGCAGATGACGTCCAGATGGATGTCTGTGTTCTCATCCCATAGCCAGGGCTATGCGGTGAATGTGCCATGGGGTGCTCCATGTTCCAGGACTTAATTGCTTTTGTATTTGGGAGTGATGACATTGCAAAAGGGTTGTAGTCAATTATATCTTTATGAGCCAGCAATTAGAGAAGAGCCTGTGTCGGTTAAGAGCTAAAATGTGATTTTTATCCTTCCCCCCCCCCCAGCCCCTGCCCCGGTGAACTGGATAAGGGAAGCAGCTAACCAGGGCATCAGCTTTTAAGCATTAAAACATACCTCCCACAGTGCCAGTTCTTTCCACTGGCTGTGTAGAGGAGGTTCCCTCATAAAGTCTTCAGGAAAACTCTGAACTACAGAATACTGGCCAAAATGTGTCAGACCTCATAGGAGCTGAACAAGCAACTTGCTTTGGTGTAAAGCTTAAACTTGAGCAGCCTGCACTGCAGTTACTCCAGTGGAGAATCATCTGCATTTAAAAACAAATATGTGTATTTAAACATGTAAATGTGAGCATCCAGATATATACTTCGGGCTAAATGCTGTTTGTGGTCCCACTCATGAAAGCCGCTGTATGAAATGGGGTAGACTGTATAGTGGAAAACAAAGATATGCTTAAAACAAATTTGCTACAAACATCCATGGGGATAACACATATTTGCAGGATGGCTGAGGTGTGTCTCAGTATGGAAAACCACAACTTTGAATTTCTGTATTTGTGGAACTGAATCCTATCTGAGAATATGTACTGATGTGTGTATTAACGCTTAGCATGTTCTTATGGGCACTGGAATAAACAGGGGAAGTACAGTCCATTAACATCTCCAGACTATCGTTAATTCCTTGAATGCATTTCTTCTTGAAAATATTTACTCCCTCTGTTTTGCTCTTGCTAGGAATTGTTTGCGATCGTTCTCTTGCAAAAGCCCACTGCATCTTTTGTAGCCATCTGTTGCCATCTGGTGGCAATAGTGTTGGGCTGCCAGAGTCCTGTGAGATGGCTTCCAGCGGGAAATGTGTGCCATACTGTCTATAACTAGGGGCAATCTGGTAACAAACACATGGCAAATTCACAACTTATTTGTCTAACCATCTGCCTTCTCTTACCCAGTGCTGCCATAATCTACTGTCACCAACAATGCCATTTTTTTCTGATGCCAAAATGCATTAAAAAATGCATATACAAACTGCACTTGGAAGCTAAAAAAGCCAAAATGAACGCTGCTATTATTTTTCAGCTTTTGTGCCCTTAACTCCCCTGATGTAATATCTACCTTTTCTCTATTTTTTTTATTAATTTTACTTCTGCTTCCCCATATAGGCCCTGCAGCTGTTGGAGCGTCCTGCATCTGCTCTTTCTAGTCAGGCATTGCATTTATGCATGCAATTCTGTGACAAACATTTCAGTGAAAATCTTGTATTCCTCATTCTGTCAAAAGCATTAGTAACTTAAATGTAATTAATAACTTAAAATTAGTAATCACCCTGCCGAAGAGACATACCTGCAGTAGTACTTGTTCATGGCTGACTTGCTTCAGGCTGGAGTGGGCCGAAACCCTGACAGCACATGTTCCTGGTACCTGTATGGAGGGAGCAATGCCCTAAATTCAGCAAGTGGTGAGTTCTGCTTCTTTCCAATTGGTGTGAATGAGACTGGTCTTGCCATTAGCACAGTGAATAGTGGGTTTGTCTGAGGAGGGGGGCGGGGCTCACAGACCAAGCCAGAAAGCTTGGAGTTGAGATAGATGTGAAAATGGTTTTTCTGTGTGGGAATAAACCATTTGTCAAAAAATCTCTTGATGCTCTGATGGTTAAAAAATAAAATAAAAAAAAAGGCAAACAACCTTCATAGCAATGGATCAAATTCAGGCATTTGGTATAGCTCATCCCCTCCCCTTGCTTTTTCACCTCGGTCATGACGGGTCACATTCCCTTGTTAACAACAAGCAGCATTCACTTCTCTGTCCATATTTAACTGCAGGAGCTCGGGTTGCCTTGATTTTTTGCGGGAGGGAAATAGTCTTGTGTCTCTGCTAGCGAACATTCTTCGCAGCTGGGCTGTCACTCCCCAAGGTCCTTCTCCAAATACCTGCTCCTGCCTCTTCCAGCATGAGCTCTCACTTCCAGCCAGTGAGGGGTAACTGGCTCCCCAAGCTGCTCTCGGTTCAGCTCAGCTGCAAGAGAAATAACACGCTGCTAAGGCTGCAGACTTTCTGGGGCTCCTACAGATTCTGCATCCTGACGATTCCAAGCAGCTAGACCATTTTGGGGCAGGGGGCAGAAACTTGTGTTACCCAAGAGCTAGAATTTGCCAGAGTGGTAACACTCTCCTCCATCTGTTTCGGAGCGAACCTGCCAGCCCTGCCTTGCGTGGGCAGGAATGCTTTGAGAGACCCCAAGAGGACTCAAAGGGGCATCGTCAGCATTCCCACAACGCCTCGGTGCAATTGTATCCACACTGGGCACAGCAGCTGCCCAGCCCAGGATGAAAGTTGGAAGCAGCCAGCTATTTGTTTGAAATAAGAGAGCTGCAACAATGGGAGCTGCTGGCCAGGGACGAGGCCGGAGTTATGTAGATGGAGAGTTTTTAAAGGAGAGCAAATGTAAATGCAGAGGCTGAATGCTGAGTTAGTGGAGGAGGAGTGATTTTTAAATAGATAATTAAAATAATAATAATAATAATAAAAGCTTCCAGCAGGAAACACCAAACCATCTGGTGCTCAGCACAAAGGATATCCGTAAGAAATAGAAAGTACGTCTAGTGTCACCCAGAGGCAAAGTTAAGGAAGGGTTTTGTGGAGAATGATTTCTGGAAAATGAAATTTGGAGCAGTGTGTAAGAATGGTTGTGGCAAGTCACCTAGTCTGATGTCTCCAAACAGCAAGTGCCTAGGGAAAAGTGCAAGAACAGGGCAAGCATTTAGTGGTATTTCCCCAGGATACTGCCCCAGCTTCCTGTGACTCTGGGACTTCTGTGACAGACTTCTTGGGTTGGTTTTTTTTTTTTTGTTTTTTTTTTTTTTTTATTTAACAGCATGAAATTAATTTATCAAACTGATTTTTTCTGAATGCACACAAACTTCTGTCAATCAGAAACTCCTGTGGCACTGAGTTCCACCACGGCCATACTGTGTGAAGAGGTGTCTTGTTTAAACCTGCCAACTCGAGTTTCCCTTGATGCCCTCTACCTTTTTTGCATGGGAACAGTGAGTGAGTCCAAATCTGCCTTGTCCAGACCACTTGTGATTTTACAGACCCTACCAAAGCCCTTTCTCTCTCTGGCTTCTCTTCCAGATTGAAGATTCATACTAGCTATCTGTTCCAGGTACAGAAGCCAGTCTGTACTGTGGCCGTCATTGTCACTTTCTCCTGGGCCTTTTCCAAGCCTCCTTTTGAAACCAGAGGACCAGAACTGCAAAGAGTACTCGGCACACCACTAAGTTATAATGGCATTGTTCCTGTTTGCTTCATCTCTTTTCCTAGAAACTTATGGACTTGCTATTTTCATGCTGCTGAGCACTTCACAGAACTATCTGTCTCAAGATTTTGTTCCTGAGTGATATTGGTGAGCTCAGAGGAACTCATCACGTATATGTATATATAGAATTGTTCACAGTTGGCCATTTTCTTCGCTAGTCTGAATAACTGAGTACTGTTACCAAATACCTAATTTTTCACCCCTTTTCTAGGTGATTTATGACAATAACAAGCAAGCACTAGCATGCCCTGCAGGAATTCACTGGACCTGCCCTGCTATAGAAACCAAATATATATTCCTATCGTCTGCCTTTTACCGTTCAGTAAGCCTATAGGTATCTATGGGAGGGTTTTCCCTCTTACTTCAGGTTATTTAGATTAGTTAACAGCTTTCAAGGGAGTGTTGAGTACCTTCTGAAAATCCCAGTGGAATCAAGCAGATGGATCTCTTGAACATACTTGTTTATTTCTTCAAAGATTTCTCATCCTGTAAAGCAAAGGAAGCAGCCTCATCCCAGCGCACAGTCTGTATGCTGGTGAAGGTGCATCAGAAATAAATTACTGTGATCTGTCTTCCCTCAGAGAAACAAAATCCCAAATCTGGCAAGTTGCTCTGGTCAAAAAGGATGACACACAGCTTTGGGTCTCCTGCTCGAGAAGTTTCCAAGAGTTCACTGAAATGTTCAGTTACTCTACAAATAATCCCTTATCTTTATTTATATGTTTATGTGTTTATTAAGTCACAGATCACATTGCCACTTAGAAAAAAATGACCTTCTGTGAACTGCAGAAGATGCTTGACTGGCGAACCACACTGTGCTCCCATTTCCAACCCCGTGGCACAGTGGCCCTCAGCTGTTGTTCCCAAAAGCAGGTGCTGTAAATCAATACCTCTGTGGTTCTATTTCGCCAGCACCCTGGCAGGAGGCAGCACAGCCCTCCTCCGAAGAGACCTGAAAGGCGCTTTGTGCTTGCCTCCGTCTGTATGACTGCAGCAAGAGGAAGCCGGGATGGTGAAGGTCCATCGCGTACTCCTCCTCATCTCTGCAGGTAAATAAGTTCCAGCCATGCCTTGAACAGGGGTCGGCTCCTTCCTGAGCGTGCAGGACCAGGGCTTTGCGTATACATTGGTATGAGCGAATCTGTGCTCTTGGAGCAGCCTGTCCTACTGATAAGGTTTTATGAATATACCAAACTGTTTAAATGAGAGCTTTGGAGTGCGTTGGTAACAGTTCAGGTATTTGTAATTTCAGACACCAGGTATTGTGAAGTGTAAAGTTTCTGTGTTAATTTTTCTCTCTGTTGTCTTTTTGCCATGCTCCCGTTTACTCTAGTGCTACATGTCTTTCAAAATGTGTGAAAGAATCTAGTAAACATGGTTTGAAATGTAAAAATTCATTACAAGAAATTTCAGTAAGTTGTGGGACTACTGACAAGGAAGCAGGATCAATTTGCAGCTGCATGTGTTGTACCAGGATAATTCTTATTAAACTGTCCCATAAAAGAAGAAGTATTTTGTGATCCTAAAAACTTTTCACCAAATTCAAGCAGTGTACTAAATTCCTACCAAGCCACACCAGAAGGTAGTAGTGTGATGGATTTTAATTGGATTAATAAAGCATAGCAGAGAGTTTGATTTAGATATGGTGCTGCGATCATAACTTAAAAATTGAAAGACGACTCCTGCCCACTCCAGCCCAGCCTCCTGGAAGGGGAAGCAAGCAGTGCGTGTCTGCAGCAGACAGCTTTTCTCAATGGCATCCAAGTATTTTAATACCAGCTCATGGCAGGACAAGGCTGAGACAGAATCCTTGGCATCTCACCTCAACTACATAAAAGGAGCTGATGAAAAGCCAGTTAGGAAACAGGAGAAATCCTGGCTTAGGTTGGAGTCAGCAACAAAATTCTTGTTGACTTCAGTGGCCCAGGATTCAAATGGAGAGAGGGTGGGATCTGCCAAAAATGCTTGTGGCAAGGCTCAGCTGTTCTGTTCCCTCTCTCTACCTTTAAAAGGGGGTACACACAAAAACATCCACAAGCCCCTTTCCTGTTTGCTCCCTTGTGAGGCAGCTGCAGTCTGGGTACATGACGCAGCTGCTTGCTCTGCAACAGGCAATATGGAAATGGGGTTCATCTGTTTTTCTGTGAGGTGGGAATCTCAGCCCTCACCCCTAAGCGTACAGTGCCACGCACATGTACTGCTGAAGCTGCACCGAAACAAAGCTGCCACCTGCCATTTTCACTTGTGGTGCCCTCTTCTTACAAGGGCTCTCTCATCTAGCGGTGCTGAGCCATGCTGAGCAGTCCGTGGGCAGAGCTCTCCAGGGACAGGTTGAGACCTTCCCTGAGGAGAGGGAAATGTGAGACCACATTGTGAATGGTTTCCTTCTCTCTCACCACAAACACAACCTAAGCAACTCCCGTCGTGGAGAGGAACTCCTGCTCTGCTGAGACTTCAGATGCAAGGAGTCTGGATGGTGCTTTCACCTCGGTGACTGTTGTGCTTGGCCCTGTCATTTAATGTTAATGTTACAGGCAAGTCCGTGGAACTGAAGGTGGAGGAGACAACATCAGAAATCCCTGATTATGGGTATTCTCTGTGCTTAACTGTCCAAAGAATTGCATGTCAGCACAATTGCGGGTTGGGCGAGCCTGGAGGAGATTCCTACTGCTCAGTGTGATGTCCCCAGTCATGGCTATTTGTTGGAGGCTGTTATTGCCTTACCCCTAAGCTGACCTCCAGATCACATAGGTAGTTACCCCTGCTGACAGTATTTGCAGTGCACACAAAGCACGCCTGAAACGAGGAGTCACACAGAGGACTTGGTGCTCACCCACCGCCTGCAGCCTGCTGTTGATGGTATCTCCATCGTGCCCACCCACCTCAGCCCGACGGCCTGTAGCGTGTCCCCTGTCCCCTCTCACTGATGCCACCCCTGCTGTTCCGCAGCGGGGCTGGCCCTGTGCTACGAACATGAGACTCGCCTCGTCGAGGACTTGTTCAGGGACTACAACAAGGTGGTGCGCCCAGTGGAGGACCATCGGGATGCCGTTGTCGTCACTGTTGGGCTGCAGCTCATTCAGCTTATTAGCGTGGTATGGTATGAACATATGGCACGTGTTGAACCACTGGCTTACGTGATCGTGCCAAATGGTGTCATTTTTCTCCTTTAACCCTGATGTTTGCTGCTACTGCCCTCTTTTCTTTCCTTCTTTCTTCTTTTAAGGATGAAGTAAATCAGATTGTGACAACTAATGTACGTCTGAAACAGGTAACTCTAAATATTGCTAAACATTTCATCCAATTCAAATTAATTCACTAAACACAGCAAGGAATTAACTATGTTATACTTTCAGGGGTAACTTGGACAGGTGGGTCAGCTAGCAGAGCATTTCTTCTTTCTGGGGTCTCAAGAGCAAAATGTAAGAAAAGCATTCTGCATTCTATTTCGAACTGTAGACTTCTGGTATAATTGTCTTTTATTTTCTGTTTTGTTTTGTTTTTAATGAGCTTCTTAAACCAAAATTTAAGTTAATATAAGAAATTAGCTGGGGGTCTCGCTAGCATATGTTTATGCTTACCTGTATGTCCCAAAGCAAGGGAGGTGCATGTTTCTAGGGAGTACCAAAACTACCCCCAGAAGTGCTGGAAGAGGCTCTCAGTGGCTGAAATCCTCCCTTTTTAGCAATGGACAGACGTCAACCTCAAGTGGAATCCAGATGACTACGGCGGCGTGAAAAAAATCCGCATCCCCTCAGATGATATCTGGCGGCCAGACCTTGTTCTTTACAACAAGTAAGGGGTGGCCACTGCCTGGGAGGGAGGGGTAGCCCTGCCCCGTGGCACCGCTGTGGTGGGGCTGCTTTCCCACGGCCTCTGGGCCAGTGGGTAGCATGCCTCAGAGCAGGCTCCTCCAGGAGCAGGCACGATGGCCCTGGGGGGGACCGGTGGATCCGCAGCCAGAAAAATCCTTTTGTGACTACGTTAACTATGCTGCCCATATTGCATTAATGTCCTTGTTCCTTTTGCAGCGCAGATGGTGATTTCGCCATCGTTAAGTACACCAAAGTCCTTCTGGAGCACACAGGCCTCATCACCTGGACACCACCAGCTATTTTTAAAAGTTACTGTGAAATTATAGTCACGCACTTCCCATTTGACCAGCAGAACTGCAGTATGAAGTTGGGAACCTGGACATATGACGGTACAATGGTTGTTATTAACCCGGTAAGCAAGGAGTTTGTAACTGGGAAAAGCAGTAAAGACCTGGATATGTTTCTAGGGAAATCTCAGCTTTAGAATGGGAATATAACCTTGTTTTGACTGAAAAACAAGCAGGCACTGCCTGTAAAATATAAAAACCCTATTTGTAGATCTAGCACAAAATTTCCTGGTCGGGCTTCTAAAATTTTGCAGATGCATAATTCCTGTGCCCTAACAGTCTCCTGCCTGTCTATCCTCCAACAGCTTCACACCACTTCTTATGGTGTTGCCTGTTCTGCTTTTGTTTGTTTCCTTATTTTTTTGGCAGGGTAGGGGAGGTAGGGGTGTGTGCAGTTTCTCTGTTCATGACTTTCCATTTCCAAGGACTCTTTCCCTGTCCCCTCGGGTATGTCTCCTAGATGTAAATATTTAATCAGTCTTCCTCTTTTGTCAACTACCCCTGACTGTTTCTGTAAAATATTTAGTTGAATGCTGCATAAAGGATGACATTCTAAAGCAAAATAACATAGACAAGAGTGTTTTGCTCACAAAAATGCATGAAGTGCCTGAGTTATTTGGAATCCTGTTCATGAGCGACTGCCAAGTTTTGATTTTGTTCAGAACCTTTAATATTAAGAATTTGTCATTTTTTTTGCTGTCAGGAGAGTGATCGTCCAGATCTGAGTAACTTCATGGAGAGTGGGGAGTGGGTGATGAAGGACTACCGTGGCTGGAAGCACTGGGTTTACTACGCTTGCTGCCCCGACACCCCCTACCTGGATATCACCTACCACTTCCTCATGCAGCGCCTGCCGCTCTACTTCATTGTGAACGTCATCATTCCCTGCCTGCTCTTCTCCTTTTTAACCGGGTTAGTTTTCTACCTACCCACAGATTCAGGTACGTAAATTTATTCATACTGCTGCCATAGTAATTACTCTTGTAACAAGTTTCTGAGAATTTCTCAGTATTTGAAATCACCAGCCAACTTGAAGGGCAGCGCTTACTAAAATTAGACATCTCAAAATAATGGCTCTAAACATTCTGCAAATAAAGGGTAAGGGCCAGAAGGTGAAAATATTGATATAAATAAGATTGGGTTGGTTTCCCACAGAAATCAATGATTAACTATCTGGTTAACTTCTGCAAAAGAAAGATTTAGCCTGTTGATTTTTGTGTTTTGCCACAGGTAGGTAGGTAGTGCGTTAGTACGTCACACAGTGAGCACACAGGGCTGGCTGAGGCCCTTCTGCGCCATGTCAGAAGAGACAGCTCGTTATCTCTTCACACACATTACCTCTTGTGACAAAAAGAGTAATCCTGGCCTAATCTGGCCTCTTTCGTCCCTGCCGAGCAGCGCTTGCTCCCTGCAAGCATTTCCTTCTGTTCAATCATTTTACCTTGTCTCAGCTTTTCATACTGCTTAATTTCATTAAGGTCCTTCTATGAAATGCCTGATGTGGGTTATTTTCAGTGGAAAACTTTAAAGAAAGTTGAACTGGATAGAAAAAAAAAGATGTGTGAATCATGTTTTGTGGTTCAGTTTTAACATCCTACATACTGGAAGATCTCAGACAGCAACTGACCTCTGGTGTCAGATGTGATTTTTGTCTGCCCACCCAGCCCACCATGAGCCTACCAGAGAGTAAGGCAAGCAAACCCCCAGGAGGCTGAGGAGCAAGCATTAATCAGGTGCATACAATTCATCACTCAAAATGCACAGCCCATTAAATGCTCCTGGCAAATAAGCTTTCCATATCCATCACCCACACCTCAGGCCAGTCATACCTTGTGATTCCCACCTTAATGCTGGAGCTGATGCTGTGTCAAGCTCCCAGGTTTGGCCAGCCTAGTTACTGCTTTGGATGTTGGGAGAGATGATAGCACTCCAGATAGGAGCAGCAATTGTTTGTTTTTTTGTTGTGGAGGTTTTTTGGTTTGGGTTTTTTTTTTTTTTTTTTTTGCATGGCAGGTGAGAAAATGACTCTCAGCATCTCTGTTCTGCTGTCTTTGACTGTGTTCCTTCTGGTCATCGTGGAGCTGATTCCCTCCACCTCCAGTGCAGTGCCTCTGATAGGCAAATACATGTTGTTTACAATGGTGTTTGTCATCGCTTCAATCATCATCACGGTCATCGTCATCAACACCCACCACCGCTCCCCAAGCACTCACACCATGCCGCACTGGGTCAGGAAGGTGAGCTCTATGGCTTTGCACGTTTCCTCCTTTCCACTGAGCACTCCATATTTTATTGGGAGGTTTTCTAATAAAAGTCAGCGAGAATTGGGGAAGTAAATGCATCATGTTAACTCTCTTTAGGCACAGGAGTCAGTGTTTACTACTTAGCTGTGCATAAAGTCAGCCAGATTGCTAAAGTGCCTCTTTAAGTAACAAAATTGTCCACTGGGGTAGAGTCTTGCAGGGAACGGAAGAGGCAAAACACGGGCAGCTGAAGATACAGGGAAAAGAAAATGTCCAGCTGGACTCAAATTACATTTCCTGGTCTAATTCTCCATCTGACTGCAAAGCACCACTGCCTGCCAGTGGCCAAGTTCACCAGCCCGTGTGAGTGCAGAGCACAAAGGGCATTGGAGATTCCTGTGTTCAGCACACCATTTTGCAAAATATTGTTTAGCAAAAACTATGATCTTCTCTGTACTTTTCCAGCAAATACCGTTGCTCTGCAGTCCTTGGGAAGCAAGGAGATCCTTGCACAGTAGCCTAAATAGCAACCACAACATGTAGAAAAAATTGGGTGTCTGTCATTACAAGTTCTTTACCAGGGAGTCAGTACCAAAGAGGATCGATCCATTCAGATATTCTTGCCATTTTTAAGGCTGCCTGGTTTAATATTAAACCATGACATGAATAGGAGATTGTTCTGTGTATTTCTACTTATACTTTTAAGGCTACATCTGACATCAGATTCACTCTGCAGCACAAACAATCCCTGCCTTTCAACAGGCAAACACTGCATGTGCTTAAAATTGCTCTGGCAGCAAGCCTCTGTCAGCTCCAAAGGAAATTATTGTAAACCTTATATGCACGTATAACAAACATTTGTAATAACAAAGTCAAACATAAGTAGCCAAAAGAGATCCTTTGTAGTTCATTCTCCAAGCCAGAGTCATAAGAAGTATGTTCCAAATTAGATGAGATTGCTTGAGCTCTGTCAGCTCGCACTAGCTGAGGGTCTGCTCCAGGACGACACACCCTCCTTCGTGTGTAGATATTGGCTATATGGTGGGGGGGAAATGGTTTCCAGAAAATGTGTGACAGGCCTGTGGGTGACTCCATCTGCCCCGGGACATAAGGCTGACAAAAGCCCCAGTGTGACTGAGGCGCGGGCCGTGACATACTCCGAGAGGGAATCTGTAGCTGATCCAGCATGGGAAGAGATTTGGGACCGGAGAGGCTCGCCTTTGTTCAGTGCACAGCTGCATCTGCAACACAGCCACGCCGACCAGCAACTGTCCTCTTCTCCCTCTGTTTCAGATCTTTATTGACACAATCCCAAACATGATGTTTTTCTCTACAATGAAACGACCGTCCAGGGATAAACAAGACAAAAATATTTTTGCAGAAGATATTGATATTTCTGAAATTTCTGGGAAGCCAGGTTCCGTGCCTGTCAACTTCTACTCCCCACTTACCAAAAATCCAGATGTGAAAAATGCTATAGAGGGAATCAAATACATTGCAGAAACGATGAAATCAGACCAAGAAGCCAGTAATGTAAGCCATTTTTTGTGCATGATTCATTTATTGCTTTCAAATTGCTACATCTTATTTTTTTGGCAAAATATCCCCGCCTCACAAAAACACTCCAAGCTGTGGTTTGGCTGTAACAGAGGACAGTCTTTTGCTCTCGATGCAGTCACCAAGGAGCAACAGATAATTGTTGTACATGGCAATTGAATCTTGGCCCCGCAAAAAAATAAAATAAAAAAAAGAAAGTGTCAGCGCTAAGGTTTTCTAAACGTGGTATGTGAAACTGTAGAGATAGAGTGTCTGTGAGTAGCAAAGAAGTTTCAAGAACTGTAAGCAAGTTCCAAAACACATTCTTCCTGTCTCCCACTCAGGCATCTTGCTCCTGCAGTAAGCAAGCTCCTGTCACTTTGGAAAAGCCAGGATGCAAGCCGAATTCAGAGAAGGCTAGCAATTTTATCTGAGAGGGTTAAATGTAACTTAGAAATGATAATTCCTATTTTGATAAGGTTTTGTTTTACTCCTGAATGCTACAAATAGTCTCTGCAAGTGAAGCACGTCATGAGCTACTTTGATTACTGACTTTTTCCACATTGCGAGCCAAAGGAAGGATAAATGTGTGTAGAGTCACATATGGCAGTGTTCCCCAGGAAAACCTAGCTCTGCCTCCTTCTAGTGCATTCAACACAATTAACCCCCTCTTTTATTTCAGTTATCACAGCTCCCACAGCTTTTGCATGGGTAATTCAGTCCTGGTACTTCACCTTTCTTAATGATCATAGACCTTCCCTGCTGAGATGCAGACAATCCTGAAGATGGGGAGGGTGCTCTCCGGGACAATAATTTGGCCATACTCTTGAAAAGGAGGCGCCTCCTTCCCATGGGCAGGATTTACACCACAGTATTTGTTCCTGTGACCAAATTCCTGGAGCATGTGGAATGGCTCTGGCTGTAGTCTCAAGTTCCCCATAACTCCTGTGCCTCTGTGCAGATAAACTGTTACCTTCAGCAGGGCTGGCGTGGCTTCAGCACCTCCGGGCTTCGCTTCCTCCTAAGCTTACAAGGAGGGTTTTCAGGTTACTGGCAAGTGCTCCCTTTGGAAGTGGAGTCCAGCTGCTCACGTCATCTGGTCACCACTGATAGCACTTCCAGGGGGTTTCAGAAGTCAGGTTCCCCAAATAAACTGAAGGTTGTGGCTTCAGAAGGCCACCACCTCACTGCATTCATTTATGCACTTATGAACCTCCTCAAAACAGTATTGCTTATCAGCGTCCTCTAGATAATTTACAAAAGTCCCCTTCTATTTGTGGGACAACTAAGGCAAAAGTAGAGGGTGTCTTAGGCCAGTACATGTCACTCGATAAGGCAGGGGTACAGGGTGGGAGTCCTGAGCCCTGCTGCACTTAGCACCTCACACTCTGCATCCAGAGAGAGCGTGGTCACAGAGCAAGTGGTTCATGGTGTCCCACAGCTGGAAAAAAAGACTAAGGGAGCTATGGAGAAGGCTTTCCCAGACCTTAGAGTCTACACTAGCCATGGAAAGGCGGGACTAGGGCTAACTTAATGACAATTTCTTACATATCCCAAGAGAATAAAAAAGCAATAGAAAAACAAAAACCAGTTGGGTCAAAATAAGTGTTTTGCTTTCAATGTCTTAAGCTCTCTTTCTAAAGCAAACACTTGACTAAAAATTAAGCTTTTCAACATTTCGTTTTAATTAAATCATTTACCAAAGTGCCAGGGTTTCTATACAGTTTAGTCTTGCAACTTGCATTTCTAGGTAGCTTAGGCTTTCTATGTTTGAGCAGAAAATGGGTATTTTGTGCATAAAAGTGGAACTTAAGGAAGAGCCTTTCCCTTGTTTAAGACAGTAAATTACAAGAATGCCCATAACAAACATGGCTCTGCAGAGATTTTACCATCTCCTTTGTTCCTTTCCCAGGCTGCCGAAGAATGGAAGTTTGTTGCGATGGTGGTTGATCATCTTCTCCTCGGCATATTTATGCTAGTGTGTATTATAGGAACATTAGCTGTATTTGCTGGTCGCCTTATTGAATTAAATCAGCAAGAATGAACATCAACTGGAAACTATTTGCTACCCTGGTCAGCATCTGAAAGCATCTTAACCGTCAAAACCTGGCCAGCCTCCGAAAGTTTCACAGACAGGAATCGGTCCCTGCTGGGAAAGAGCAGGGATAATAAAGCGTAAGGCTCCATACTTAGCACTTCTGAGCTGCTGCTCAGTAGCATTTCATTGCCAAAAAGAAACACTTGTGTTACTGGGACACTGAATGGCTGTCAGCCAGGTTTTGATCCATTTTATCATTTATTAAAAATGTTAATGTATTAATAAGACTGTCTGACTCTGTTACCCACAGATACAATTCCAATGAAATCAATAGCAGTGTAATAAGCTTTAGCTGAGCTGTAAATCTAGATCCAACTTTAGCGTTCAAGCTGGTTTCAATATCTGCTCTGTGGTTTTGTATTGGCAGAGTCCCAAATGACTCCTCTTGTAACACTAGATGGAACCAGCAGAAATATCTCAAACTCTATGCTTAAGTACTTGATTTTCATGCACAAACCTGAAATGATTGACTGTTGTATGTGACTTTACCTGTAGAAACTCTTCATGCAGCAAAGAGGAGGGACTGTTCCTTACTGTGGGAAGGATCCAGCCTCAGCCAGTTGCATCCCAGAGGTATTTTTTGTTATCAAGTTCCATGGTAAAAGACTCATAGAGGAGGACTTTTTTTCCCTGTTTTATCACTGAGCTCTGCTCTGTGACCACCAGGCACCTCAGTGACTATTTTTCAGTTGCTACCCTCTTATTTTTATACCTTAATACTCATTATAAGAAGCCCCATGTTCATTATGTATTAATGCTCAGGATTTTCAGCTGTCAACAGAGATGTTCTGCAATTGCATCCAAAGGGAAAAGTTTAGGCCAGAGGGGAAAGGATGGTATCCATAGGATATTATTTGTACTCAGCCTACTCTGCTCCGGGAAGGGTGGTTTCCACTCTCTGTTCTGAGTGATGACTAATGTGGGGGCAGCTTCAAATTTGGGTGTGCTTGGTATGACATCTTAAACACAATTCTCTCTGTTCCTTGAAAGCTGTCTCCTGCCCTGCTGCAATAGATCATGGCTGTTAAAGTCGGACACAGCATCACAGAGATCATTCCTAGGGAAAGTGTGGATCTCAGTTTTTTCCTTATGCATGACAAAACGACAGGACACCTCCTCTTCTGAGCAGTACAAATAATTACCCAAGCCTTATTCAAATGTTGAGCAGCAGCTCACTCTAGTGGCTAAAATAAAGTAGTGCTGCTTTTGGCCAAAGACCTTTGGGTTTTAGTAAACACTAAACACAAGCACATATAGGCTTATGTGTGTTTCAATAATACAGTGTGGAAATACTAGCAGTGCTGCCTGTTTTTCCTCAAAAATAAATAAGGAGAGGTGGGGCAACTGATACAAGTTACTCATCCTTCCCAGCTGTTTGTCCGAGCCAATAGGACTACTTCGCTAACAGCTGTAAATAATTTGCCATGAGTTTATTAAAATAATTTGTATTATGTTAATGCTCTACAGGAATGTGTCATGTCTGCAGAGGACAGGCATTTGAAATGCTCTATAGGGAAAATTAGGCACTTGTGCAATACTTACATCATTGCTTAGTATTTGCTAGACAATGTTTCGGTGAGCTGCAGTCCTAAGCAAAGCAAACAGTTTGTCTGGGGCAATGGATCACTTTTTAACACTCTGCTCAGATTTTGCAGTTTAGATGATGGTATCTTTGCCTCCCTGGATGATCATTAACCCTGTAAATGATTGCTGAAGATGTACACTCGGTGAAACCTCTGCTGACAGATGGAGTGCTCGCTGCAGCTCTGTTTATCTTCAGACTAAGTTCTCAGCTCTCAGCCCTTGGAGGGAGTCACGCAGCTCACCATGAGCTAAGATGCAGCATAACGGTGCCTGGGACTTAATTTGGGAGACTGTGATCAGCACTCGACAGAACAATCCTCTTAGAGCAGCATGTGCTTGAATCTTAGCATTAAAAATAAACATCAAGTAACAGGATTCATGATGGGCATCCACAGTATCTTTGTTCAGCTTACCCAGCTTCCTCCAAGCAGATCTGGGTCTTGGCCTCCAAATTCCACCTATTTGTGTGCCAGGGTACATGTGTGCACACACGTGTCTGCCTGCTCACTTCTCCAGCTCTCTTTGTACAGAGCTACCACATTGCAATGTTTTCTTTCCACTTCCTCACAAAAAGTTTCTGAATTATTTACTTGAAAATTTTTATTTGTGATAGTTTGTATCTTATTGGTATGGCAAATCTTCTGCCTTCCTATAGCTCTGAGTCTTGATGAACTACACCAGGCAAAAATAAATGCTAACAACTTTACTTCTTATGGTGCAGAATCCGGGCATTGTACTCTGACTCTCCAAACAGATGGTCCACCAAACATCAATAAGCACACTTCGGGAGACAGTTCATCTGCATCTTTTTTTTTTTTTGCTTTGTTTTGAATACTCAGATTGTCCCAGTCTTCTTTATTCTCTGTTCCTAGCTCACCTTTGTAATGCATTTTTCTTGCATACCACTAACATCCCCTGTTTCCAGTATCCACCTACTGAAACAGAGTACCCTTACCTACATACAAACTATTTCTTCTCATCTGCAGCTGTCCTTTCAACATGTCAGCACATCTGCTAAAATAGTAGCTTTGGAGGTTGTAAGTGTGCTGTCTTAGTCCCCGTCAAAGATAATTTGCTGTCAGTGTGTAAGTACATATTGTCTAATGTCTTCTCATTTACAGCACTGTAGTTTCTGCCTGCAGTCTTACACTAAAGTCTCCTCTCTCCTACGTGGGCAGCCCCAGGGAGAAGGCACTGGATAATGCTCGTGCAACCTGCACATGCAACTCTGCTGCCTCGTTGCCATGAACAGGAGTTTCAGCTCTCAGATTCAACTAACAATTCTCATGATAAGCAAAGCAAGAAGCAGGCCTCACACACTCGTTAAATTTCTCTAGTAAGTGTAAAAGATAATGAAATGCAAACACCATGGTGCTGAAGTAAGCAGACTGAATTTAAATGAAAGCAGACCAAGGGTCTCTGGGTGAGAAGGTGTTGCTTTTATAGTGATAGTACCCTGAGCAGTTAACTTGTCCCTTTTAACTGCTGTACTCTTGCTATTAAAGCTGCTTTTCTTAACTTTGAGCTCATTAATAACACCCTATTTATGTCCTTAATAGAATAGCTCTCTGGAATGTCTCCATCTTCTTCAGTCTGATTCTCTTTCCAATTTTTAAACAATTTGGCAATTAACTTTCCCTTTCCCATCCCTTTAAGCTGACCTTCAGCTACTTTCTACTGTGTCATGGATATTTTGCTCTCAGAGATGCAGTCACCCCCAAATCTCTTTCCCCTTTGGCAGATATGCTGTTCAGAAGACCTGACCCTTCTGAGGGTGTTATTTGAATTTTTAAAGTCCGTTACCTTGTACCAGCTCCAAGGGAGCAATATTACCCTTGCATGAATCTGCAATCAGAACAGTCTGCACACATCTCCATGTCACCAGGCACATGAGCTAAACTTGGTGGCCTTATTCTGGCTATTCAGCCAGTTGGATCTTGGCTTTGTAAAACATAGTTGAGCATGTCAACAGTGTAAGCAGAAAAATGACATTCACTGAATGCTAAACACTTGATCACAACATTGTGTGTGCGAGGTGTGATCATTCACCTGCAACTAGCGCTTGGGTCCTGAAGCCTCCTTCAGTTTGAGAGTTTTTAAGAAATCAGATTATTGTTTCAGGCAATTGTAAGACAATTTACATACTCATTTTTTCTACAGGATATAAGTTGCTGCCAATCTCCTTGCTGTTGCTGTCTCCCCCGAGCTGTGTGAAAGCAGTGTGAGTTTCATCAGTGTGCTGACTCAGCAGTTCCTGTTTCCACAGCTGAAGCAAACCACAGTGGGTAGGGACAGCAGGGCAAAAGAGTATGTGTAACACAGGACCCGCAAAGTGCATAAACACTGTTATGCTATTGGAGAAAAGAAGCACACTACCGCCCTGAAAAGTTTGTTTTCTGGTATGGTGGCATGCGAGATGTTGTCTTTAAAGTCACTGATAGTTTAGGACATCAGAAATGCTTTTGACTTTGGATACTTTTAGAAGGTTGCTGTGCTTGGACCCAGTCACAAGACCCCACATTTTCATATGTTTACTTGTGCTAGAAAAAATCTAGTAGAGTCTCCAAGCCCCTAGGCATGTTCCTGGGTGCAAATTCCCTCCCTCCCTCTTTCTCTTACTGAAAAATTGTGAAATTGGTATGCAGTGTCCCAAGCTTCTCTCAGATGAATGTTGCACAGACACTGAGCTCTGAGGTACTTTCTCCCTTTCTGGAAATCAAACCCCAACTACAGATCAGGCAATCACGCACTGCTTTGCAAAAGATTCACTAAAACAATCATACTTCAGTCCCTGATAAAAGTATAAAAGACTGGCAGAATTATGGAAAACAGCCAACCTGCAAGCAACCATTTCCATGCTCATTGCGAGAGTTCCCCTGGCTGCAGGTGGGTTATCTACAGCAGGAACACGACAATTTCACTCGTTACCATGCGACAGGTCAGACTGACCAGCATTCAAGAGGCCAAAGGAGTTTGTAGGCTACTGCAGCACAGTGATGATGGGCCACTTGGTGGATCCCCCATAAAGGGAGGGCTCCTTCCTAGCAAGGGCTGTCACCATTTCCCATCATCGCAGCACGTCTTCCCAACTTCACACAGCCGAGCAGATCTGTATCAGTGTTTGCTGTTTATCACATATGGAGCTTGGAGTAAACACATCACACAGTATTTCCCCAGTACATAGACAAGAGGAAGCTGTTCGCCTCTATGTGACTTTTCAGCTAACCAGTGACCCAAATGCAGTTATGCTGTGCTTAGGAACCTCATGTGGATTTGTGACCCTCTTTAGGCAGCTTTAGGTCTTTAAAGATTGTAAGCACAGAGAATCTGAAGTTTTTCCATTTGTGAGCTCCATAATTTTTGCTTGCAAGCTAATCTAGGTTGTGTACACAGGTCAGAAAAGGGTAGAGAGAAAAAACTGTACCTGTTTTTGTGTCCATCTTGTAATGCTCCAAGCATGCAATGACACAGAAACAGAGAAATGACCTACATAAAAGCCTGGCAAGGCTTGAAACCTTACACTGAAGGCAAATCAGTAATGCCATTGCTCTTAGGACAGCGTGTCTCACCATAATGCTGTGTCTTTGGGCAACTGGTCATCTCCTGGTCAAAATATGAAAGTTGTAGCAGGTTAGCTCTGCACATGGGCTACTCAGTCTTTGACCTTTCTGGGACACGTTGCTACAAGCAATCAGTAACATATTTAAGCTCTTCAGGACACCTGTCCCTAACATTCATGTATTTTAGACAATAGTGTTAGCTGCTAGGCTGGACCACGTTCATGCATGGAGTAAACAGAACACCCAAATACCTCCAAAATGTGAAATCCTACAGAAACAAAAGCATGTGGGATCAATGTGTTGGCTCAAATAGGCACTCAGGGGACAGTTCTTGCCCTTCAAACCTTGCTCCTATCCGCCCAAGCAACTCTATTACATATACTTTGGGCATTTTTCCATTTGAGACCTCAGTGCTGGACCCAAAAACATTAACGTAAGTTTTGTTTCTATAAACCTTAGTCAAGCTGAGAGGGTAAAGGAAGCAGAATCTCTTACTTTTCTGGCAAAGCAATCTCTGCATGAGTTAATTGAGGTAAGATGCACAAATGCCTTTTGGGGCATCATGTAGAGAGGGGTAATTGACCTTCCCACACCTTGGCATACTGTAAACCTTAAAAGGGAAAAAGCATGTACCTCTTCCCACTGTTTAATTAACATTTCTACTCCGCCATGTGCATCTGCCTGCTGCCTTGCCGTTCCCCAAGCTCCACTACCCCTCCCCTGCTGGCTCCTATCAAGGCCATGAGAGGCGGGTAGAGAAAATGAAGCGTGTTGAGAACTCTGGGGACGAGGTGAGCACCGGGAGCTGGGGTGAGAGGAGCCCCGGCCTAACAGCCTTCGGGGCTTGCGGCTTTCCCCGAAGGCCAGGCAGTGCTGGGCAGGGGTGAGGACGGCAGAGCGCACCCCTTCCCCCGGCCCTCCCTGCCAGCGGGTGCAGCGGAGGCTGAGAGGTGGCAGGGAGCTGAGCTGGCGATGCAGGTAATGGGCACTGCCAGGGCACCCAGCAGGGTTTGAACAGGACGGACCCCTGGAAAAGCTACCGACGTTCACCGTTCGGGTCGTTAGCACCTGGGGACCCGGAAACCTTTCCCCGTCATGGAGTTATCTCGCTGGCTCTGTCCGGTTTTCCCTTACACTGAACCCCCGAGACAGAAGGCCCGCAGGTAGGGGCGGGGGGCACGGCCCTCACCAGCACCCCCAGGCCGCCCGGGAAGGACCACACCACGGGAACGCCTCGCTCCGGCGGCCGGGCCGGGCCTGCCAGCCGGGGGGGGGGAGACGGACGGACGACCCCGGGAGGCGGGGCGGACACCGAGACACTGACACCACCACCCCCCCCAGCCCCTGCCCCGCCACCGCCGCGGCCGGGCCTGCGGGCAGCGGGGCCGGGACATGTGCGGCGGCGCGGCGGCGGGGAGCGGCGCCCCAGAGCCGGGCCGCGCCGCTTCCTGCCGCTATAAATAGCCGCCCGGCCCAACATGTCCCGGCCGCCGCAGCGGCTGGAGCGCCGGCGGGAGCTGCCCGCCCCTCCCGCCGCCTAGCCCGCCCGGAGCGCGGTAAGGGGGCGCGGGGGGGACGGACGGGGCTCCGCTGCCGGGGGTGGGGGGTCTGTGCGGGGCGGGCTGGGGCGGCTCGGCACCGCCGGGCCCCCGCGGGGTATAAGGGTCGGGGCGGGCGGCAGGGCAGCGTCCGCGGTTGCCCCAGGCCCGGGGAGCCAAGTCTCGCTTCGTGCCTGTTTTCTCTTTCTCTTCTTTTCTTCCAGACTGCTCTGTCTCGGGCTGGGACGCGCTCCTCCTGCCTTCCGAAGCCGTGCTGGCGGGGCTGGGATCCCTCCCTGCTTCCCTCTCGCTTTCCCGCTTTCCCCGGGGTTGGGTGCGTGCCCGGGATGGAGGATGGCGTGGGCCTCCGGACACAGCCCCTGGGCCCTCTTGGCAGCTCAGACCGTGCCTCTGCCCAGACCTCTAAGGAGGTGGCTGGTGGCATCCGTGTCCATCCCTGGTGTGGTACAGCCAAGGTTGGGAAATCCCGGCTGGCGTGGGGAGAGCCACACTGGGGCCATGGCTCGCACGGCTGCCCACGCCTGTGGCACCCAAGCAGCCTGCCGTTATGGTCGCTCCCTCAGACAGGTGTTTGAGTTGCAGCTTTCCTCCCTCAAGTGCTTTTATCTGCAGCAGATGTTGAGGTGAACCTTGTAGTTAGGTTTTATGGTGGAGGCAACCAAAGCCAGTCCCTGCCCTCTGAGCTGGCACTTGGGGGCTTTTTGAAGGAGTCAAGTTTGGGAACCTTGAGTAAACAGTCTTAAAGTTTTAGTTTGTCTTCCTCTTTGCCTCTCCTACTCTAATGGCTGTGCTTCAACTTAATAGACACCTTCTGCAGTGCAGGACCGTATCCCTTCTCTGGGAGTAGGTGCTCTTCAGCTGCTACCGTGTGCTCTGCTCAGGCCTGTTATTTAAAACTAAAGTGATAAAACATTTGGCTCTGGTGCTAAGGTGTGCTTGTTCAGGAAACCACTGTGAGGTACTTTTTAATTGCTCTTTCATTCTTGAAGTGCTTCCTCAAAGAAAGGGCTGTAATAAGTAGCTGTTCTCAAATGTCTTGATCCCCAGAGGATGGGGAGTGTGTTTTCCTGCTCCTTCACACCTTTTCTCTCTCTTTCTACTTTCCCCTCTGTTTCTTCTGTCCATTGGCTCCTCCAAGCCCAATTTGGGGCCGCGGCACAGAGGCCCACAAGGCCGTGTGAGAAGGAAGAGATCCTCTCAGAGTCTGTTTGGCCTCCGCACGTTACCCACTGCGTGCCCCATGTGGGAGCCTTGCCTTCAGTAAAGGCAGGAGGGATGGCAGCGCTGCCGTGAGGGACCTGCTGTGGCAGGGCACCTTCCCAAGTGCTGTGGAGCAGGAGGCAGGCTGCGCTGGCCTGTGCTTTCCCCTCTGCTGGAGTGGGCAAGGGGAAGGAGCACGTGAGGAGGAAATACAGCTGTTCCAAAGCACTTCTGCCCTCCGTGCAGCGGGAACACGTGAGGGAAGAGCAGACACAAAAAGAGAGATTCAGGAAGAGAGTATGAGAGAGAATTGGGGGGGACAGAGGAGAGTTACAAATGGAGAGGAAAAGCTTTTCATATGTGCATAAATGTTGTTTAAAGATTTATTTAGCTAGGGCAAGGGAAAATACCCTAAAAATAGGAGTTTGTATCTCTTGAGTCCCTGTTATTGTTCTTCCAGAAAGCACTGCTTTTCATTCCACAAGTATTATGTGTGTCTTTCTGCCTCACTCTTCTAGGCTCTTCAGCATCCTCTGACCTCAAGCTGAACAGGACGTTGCCCTTAGCATCTGCCTGTCAAATATGTAATTCTCCATGTTATACATGAGATGATTATTTCCATAGTTGGTTAAGGCAAGTTTGAGGAATGTGAAGCAAAAGGCATGCCAGTTCTGTGCCTGGCCTTGACTGGAGTGTTGGTTCTTTGGAGCCAAGACTGTGCCCTGGAAGCTGCTGTTCACATTGCCCCTGGCAGTTTAGGGATTTCTGCCTCCACTCCTGTCCCTCCCACCCCTCTCTTAACTCTTATTGCTGCTTACCTGTTCCTCCCCCTGTGCTGCAGCCTGTTCAGCCTCTCCCAATTATCTGTGGAGTTGTGCTGTAAACCGAATTGATGAAAGGTTCAGAAATGTGGGTTGAAAAATCTCTGGAAAAGGAGAGAGGGGAGGAGGAGCAGCAGCAGCTACTCCCTCTGTACAAAAGTCCCCTATCAGCCCTGTGCTGCCTCTCCTGCCTCCAGCTTTGAGATCACTCACCCCAGCAAATGGGAATTAAAACAGTTGAAGCTCTCTAGCAGTGTCCTAACTTCTGATGGCTTAGTATTTCTACTGGAATTACACTTTTAACTTTCTACAGCAACAGTTTACTCTGAACAGCATCAGGTAGCAAGGTTCTGTCTTTGAGGGGCTGCATTGGTACAAGACTGTTAGAAAAAGAGAATGGTCTAAGAGAAACCCAGAGTTATCACAAAATTGCATCAGGACTTCAGTACCTTTACTCATGCAGTAGAGTCAGAATTGAAAGTGTGCATCTAGAAAAAGGTATTGGCTATAGAAGGAGTAATTTCTCACCTGTGACCACAGGTATGACCTTTATCTCTGAGCTCCAGACCCTCTTCAGTGGAGGCGCCACTGAGGAGCATGAGCAATGCTAATCCCTTTATAAAGGGAACACGCTGCAGTATTGCTCTCCATTACTTACACTGTGTAAAATTCTAACAGCTATTAGTTTTCTGCCTTGCTTATATAAATACCAAGCTTTTTTGGAGGGAGAAAAGAGTGTATGTTGGTGTTGTCTGACACATATGGCACAAGGACAGGAATTCATAGGTTTCTTTTGAAGGCACATACATTGTTCTTGATGTATATATACAATTTAGTAAGATGTCTTTATGCAGCAGCCATTAGAAATGTTCTGTGCTTTTAACTACGTTGAATCTCCATATGCATAATGGACTTATGTATAGAAACCATAAGAAATAGGGATGCAATGGAGAGGGGAGGATTTCTTTAAACTTTGTTTTTACCAAGGTAAATGTATCTTAATTGTGACTTGTTCACAACAACAAAGTGCTATCAAAATTCATATCTAATTAAATGCTTTTGTGTTCTTTCTACTGACTTCTCTTATTCTTGGCTCTAATGTGGACACTTTCTTCTTCATGTCATGCACTCTAACACCTGCTCTGTTTGTTCCCTTATGAAAAGGGACTGTCAAGTATCTTGGTTCAAAATACATGATGTTAGCTGTGTTTGAGTAGGGGTAGGGAAATCATTTTTTATTTGGGGAGATAGTTAAGTTTTGGGTTGGTAGAACAGATCGGAGTAGTACGAAGATGAGATACTGGGGGTGGCCACAAATCTTCAAGGCAGCTGTCTGTTCTGTGTGCCATTGGGTGTGCAGTTAACACCTGCTTGTTGTTCAGCTCCTGACTTCGAAGATGTGTGTGAAAATATGACTGTTATTGAATAATAACTGTTGAACTGTTAGCTGGCAAATAGCCCAGAAAGGGGATTATTAAAAACTAAATTTAATAAAGATGTTCAGAGTTGTGCTTTAGTAGAAGGTTTCGTTTAAAACATTTTGGACACTTGTGGTGACCAGTACAATAGCACGTGTAATGCTCTCATGTAGCACCAGCTACATGTACGCATTGTGTCTAGATATCTAAAGAGGAGGAAGGGGAAGGAAATCGATGATCTCTTTACTAGGCTGGTACTCTGTGATTCTTGGCAAGCACTATGCCACTGCTGCAGAGGTGCAAGTGAAATCTGAATTGTGAAAAGATTATTTTTTTCAGTGGCAATAACCCTGAACATTAGGGCTCCCAAAGATGCTGCAGCTGCTCTTTAGCCTTGCAGGCACGCAAGTCTGAAAGAGCAGCTGTCCTTGGGCCTCATCCAACTCTGTTCACAGAGATCAGTGGAGAGCGTCTCCAAGGCTGGAGACGCAAGTGGCGAGGCAGCAGTTTCATCTAAATCTGAGAGATCAAAGGAGTTCAGAGTAGAAAGTTTTTCCTTATTCCTGGAAGGAGATAAACGGGAAGCACAAGGAGTAGTTTGAGAGTCTGTTTTGTAACACTTAATTCCGATGTAACCTTGTTATCTTCTACATTTGGTTCCGATTACACATAAGTACACTTTGGAGTTAAAATATGTAATTTTATAACTCCTTAAACTACTAATGTTGCAGAAGCAAAAGCTCCTAAGATTTAAGCTGCTTATGTGGCACCCCCATCTTTGATCTCTTCTGTGTGTGTATGCATGTTGCTCCTGCTATTTACTTCCTGGGACTAAGTCTGTGTGAAGGGCTCTCCTCTCTTCCAGTGCACGTTTTCACGATACTCCTTCTTGTTTGAGCTAAACTCAAGTACGTATCTCCTGCTGAAGGAACTACAGCATATTCTTTAATGGGAAGTAATGCAGAAGTCAAAATAAATGCTCTTAGCAGCTTCAGCAAGCCTAAAATAGCTTGTGCATGTTTCTCTTGTGATAACTTCAGGAAGTGGGGTGATTCCCTCTTCCTCCCTCTCTTTTTAATGTTTTTGATGGGAGCTGTACTTGAGTTCTAAAGTCCTCTTGCCATGAAGAGCAGGCAGCATGGAGCAGGCTTCTCTGAATTTTCCTGGACCCTGACTTAACAGGACCGGAAGTAAACCCAAAGAAGAAATTGCATTCCTCAGCTCGTTGTACTGCTTCCTGTGAAAACTGCCAGTAAGGTCCTTGGTGTTGAGGGTGGCTAACCACTGAAAGTGATTGTCCGGAGAGATTGTGAAGTTTCTGTCCTTAGAGATGGTCTAAAAACTGGCCTGGACAAAGCCCAAGCAATCTGTTTTAAGCCAGGTTAGCCCGGCTCTGAACTAGATGAGATCCAGTGGTTCCTTCCAGCTGGCTGTATGCTATGTTTCTTCATTACTGGATAAGCATGTCTGCTTTTGTCTGTCCCCAGAACATCTGGGAATAAAAGTGGTCTCAAAACATCCAAAAGTGGCCTTGAGAAGTCTGAATAAAGACTTCAAA